ATGAACCCGTTGATTATCTAATTCCCATATAGACTTAACACAGAGACCACCAGGTTCCAGTAAGCAATGGGTTAAAGTATGCTAACTCTGCTTTATATTCAATAGCAAATGTTTCAAAGTAATTTTCAGGAGAGACAGAGATAAAGAAATAAATTATTGATGGGGTAGGCAAATTTAAGAACGGGACATTTGGATATAAAATAATTATATTAACATAAATTATTTTAAACAATACAAGTAAGGGAGAGAAAGAGAGAGGGAGGTAGAGAGAGAGAGGGAGAAAAAGACAGAGAGAAAGAGAGAGGGAGGGAAGGAGGAAGAGAGAGAAAGACACAGAGAGAAAGAGAGAGAGAGAGAGAGAGAGAGGCGGTGGTGCGGTGGAAAATGTAATGTCGAGGATAAATCCAAATTGAAGATTTCAATTAAAGATGTTAACTTATGATCAGTTTTGACAAAACTGTAACGTTAACATTATCATTGAATACTTGTGTAAAAATAAAGAACAACAGAGATCAGGAGCATGAAGACTATCAGAGGGGGGGGGGGGGGGGGAGGGGGAGGCACATAATGGGTATTGTAGTGACCTGTGATAATGCGATAATTATTATGTGTATAAACAAAAACCTTTCATTGACATCTTTCACAGATCACAACATGCTTCATTGCGACGGGTTGCTGTTGTTGTTGCTGTTGTTTATGTGGATGCTGCGGGCTGTGCAGTGAATGTCAACCAAAATCAGATGAGGAAGATGGTGATCTCTCCGACATAGAACCCGGAGTAAGTTTCATTTACCTATTTACGTATTTATTGGTTGTTTTACGTATTAATTAATAAATTCATTAATTCATTCATTCACTAATTTATTTATTTTTTCATTTACTTATTTACTTACCTATTTATTTATTTATCTATTTATTTATTTACTTATTAATTTTTGCAATGACGTTCTTTTTTCGTTCACATTCTGCCCTATAAATATTCTTCTTCTTCTTCCTTTTGCACGTAGTGCTTCTTATACCTACCTAGGTCCTTTTCTCTTGCCCTTTGCCTTTTAAATATCGTAGTCATAGTTTCTAGCATCTCATCAAGGCCACTACATTCTTCGATTTTCAAAATCACTCATGCATAATTCTCCAGGCGCCATTTTGTCCGGTTCTGGTCCTTTTTTAAAGGCCTTTCTTCCTTCTTTCCTATCTCCAATATCCTAGATCCTACAGAGTTCTAACAAATTCCTCTAAATTTTAAAGTCCAAGAGAATGTTCTTTATCTGCGACGCTAAACATACCTTTCAAATGCCATCTCCGTACTGCAAATTCAAATACGAAACCAACTCCGTGAAAAATCTCTAAAATTCTTGAAAAATGGACCCCTAAAACACTTGCTAGAACTTTCTCATACCATATTAAGCCCTTTCCAGCCAAATACAAACTAATGTACCTTAGCGCTGACCGACTTTGCGAAAATTGCCCTCCAAATATGCAGCTTTCAAGAAAAGTGCGAAATAACGTTAGCCTGCTCTACCTACGTCACAGACATGTATCCATATACGTCACAAAACTCTGCTGAGTGAAATTTGATGACGTCAGCGCAAAGTTATCGCCCCAAATGATGAATTTACTATGCATTACGTGACAGCCGGTTTTTTGCGTGCAGTACATTGAACGTAGATGACAATGGTGTCAAACTAAACCGCAATTAATTGCTCTTTCGAATGATACCAAAAACGTCATGTTATCACAGGAATAGGCGTAGTCTCTAGCATCCCATCAAAGTCACTGTTCTTCGTTCTCCGGAATCACCCATGCACAACCGTCCAGGCGCCATTTTGTCCGTTTCGGGCCGTTTTTAAAGCCTTTCTTTCGCCCTACCTATCTCCAGTATCACAGAAGCTAATACTTTGTACAAATTGCTCTGGATTTTCCGAGAGATGTACTTTCGTTAGACATGTAGAAACATGGCGTCATTGCACGCAAGCCATATCGTTTTGACACGATTGCATTTCTAGATTCTAATGTGTATTTGTTCCTTTTTAAAATATTTTTTTCGTTGATTGATTCAACATTTATTTACTTATTCATTCATTTATTTATTTGTTATTTATCAATTAATTATTTTTATTAATTATTTCATGTGTACTTAATGTGTATCTAATCATTTTTTTTTACTTATTTATTTATTTCATGGTCTATATTTCTTTTTTATTTGTCTATAACACGATTGCATCTACTTTGAAAAATCAACCCACGGCCATTTCTAAAGCATTGTACGTCCCATTTTGAAATATGGGAACATAATTATTACAATGACATACCGTAATCTGAACATGGTTTATATGGAAATAATCAGGCATTAAAATTGTATTATATTTATTTATATGTTGGGAGAGGGCGTCCTATACTCTTTTGTCATGTCTGTCCCCCTCTCCCTTTCTATTTCCCCCATTTGATTTGGCATTTATATAATGTTCACCATTTAAATGGAGAGGAGAAGGGGGGTTGGTGGGGGTTGGGGGGGGGGTGGGCTCTATATCCCCGTAATCCCGTAGGTATGCTGACTAATTAAACAATTTTTGTTTCTTCCTCTTCAGAGAACTGGCGGAGGAGATACCAGAGAGCCAGTGAGGAACCAACCCGAAGCCCCGGGCGGAGTGAACAACGAGGTCTTTGCAATGCCCGAACCATAACTTCAATGGAAGTTGCCATTATATAATTGCAAAGGTATCATCAATTGTATTTTAATGCAACGGGGCACGGGACAGTGTGAGCAGCAGCCAACAGAATGTAGACCTCATGTATATTGTTTTCTTTCTCTCTGACTGTGCTTCCATTTTTTTTAACTTTTCAATTAGAGAGAATGAAAGATTGAATACGAATGATGTATAAAGATGATAGGGCAAAACAAAGCAGAGAGGAAACAATTAATATATAGACACGAGAAAGAGAGAGAGAGATATAGAGAGATAAAAAGAAAGAGAGAGAGAGAGAGAGAGAGAGAAAGAACACAACTAAGCACAACGATGAATTTACACGTATTTTATGATGTATTATGTAGTCCAAATACTTAATGCTATCACTTGCATTTTATGAAATAAATACATTTGATTTCTTTTACAAACTTAGTCATTCACTATAGGGTTTGTATATAAAGAAATCAAATTTAGTTTTTTTAAATTTAAATGCTCCAGAATATTGCACAGCTATTATGATGTATATAAACATAGATTATATTAGTAGTTATACGGATTTCCGCTCACTTTGTTTTGGGATGAGGTATCAGCGCTCATTTTCATGATGGCGATACTTATTGTATGCAAATTTTACGTTGTTATACCATGTAGTTCTGTCAAAAGTTTGCTTCATTTTCAAGTTATACAATTTTTCTAATGAAATTAGTAATTATCGTATTCAGTAGTAATAAATCATTTCATATCATTCTTAAGAAATAAACATGAATGCAATAATATTGTTTGTCAATACCTGTTCTTTGTACTGCATTTTCTTCCTACTTTGTCGGGATAATGCAGAAATAAATCAGGGTGGTTTATTTCAAGTTTATGATAACGCAAAGTCGCAAAGTGTAAAAAGCCTATTACACACTCTACGATATCCCTGCATGCGACCTGATTTTTGATCGAATGTAAAACAATATTATATATGAAAATCTAAACAAACAGCATCTTCTTGACTTAGGTTCTAACTAATGATACGAATACAAAATAGGGTACGCATTATGCGTGTTCCCTCCTTTTGAAAACACCCCCCTAAGTCCGGTGTGTAGGCCCTAAAGTCAATTTTGCGTACTACGAGCCGGACTTTGGTGCGTGCTATACCGGACATATTGGTAACGCGCATGCGGTCATTCCGTTATGTTCTTTTGGGTTAAAAATACAAACCATCTTTACTCCTTTACTGCTTTTCTTCTTGTTTATAAAGGGGGGGGGGGGCGTTTTTTGTTTTGTTAGGGGGTGGGCAAGTGCCCCCCTCCCCCCCCCCCCCCCCTCCCGGCGCCTACTGAGGCTGAACCATGAGTTTTTGCCGCGATAAAATACATCAAAGATCTAACATGCAGTATTCTAAGTTTGCGAGCGAGCAAATTGAGCAAGGAAATTAGGAGGTAGCCTAGCTATTTTCATTTAAAAGTATATAACATAATCATCCAAATATACTGTAGATAAGACATTTAAAAAATGTAAAAACAAATGAAGATATTTGGATACCAGTCCTGACGAAAAACATTAAGGTGATGATTTTGCCCGGTTTAATGAAACTCAAATACTCGCTCAGGAGAGGGTTTCCTGCTCCAGCGCTCCTCTTTGGCTGTGCCTGTGGAAAGTGAAATAGAGTGAAAAGGTGAGAGGGGAGGGGGTCGTCAAATTATGCTGGGCACTTAATAAAAAAATAAAAAAATAATTTTTTTACTCGACATCCCCCTCTTCCCCCTTAACCCCCCAAAAGGGTAAGCTTTTGGTTATTTTTTTTTTTTTTTTTTTTTTTTTGGGGGGGGGGGGGGGGCCAAGAATGGGGGCCCCCGCCCCAGCCCCCACTCTCAATTTTTTTTTTTTTTTTTTTTTTTTTACTCAACATCCCCCTCTTCCCCCTTAACCCCCCCCCCCCCCCTCCAAAGGGTAAAATTGTGGTTACCATCGGGTTTTGGGGGCCAGGAACGGGGTCCCCGCCCCAGCCCCCGCTCTTCAATCTTTTTTTTTTTTTTTTTTTACTCAACACCCCCCTCTTCCCCCTTAACCAAAAAAAGGGTAAAATTGTGGTTAACATCGGGGTTTTTTTTGCCAGGAATGGGGGTCCCCGCCCCAGTCCCGCTCTCAAATCCATTCTTCTTTTTTTTTTACTCAACACCCCCCTCTTCCCCCTTAACCCCCAAAAAGGGTACAAAAAATCGGGCCAAAAAGATAACATTGAACAACAAGCGGTCTGACTGGCACCCAGGCCAGACGACAAGTTATGTAGTTAATTATCGATCCAGCTTGTCAAAGAGTTATCGATATCTTTCGAAGATGTTGAAGTACTCGTAGTGCTGTGTGGATCCGGACTCGGATGCTTTGGAGTTTCTTCTGTCGAAATTTCGTTCTATTATCCAAGAATCAGTAGCGTAAGTATATCTATTCATATCTGTGAAACATATAGCTTCATAAGAGATCTAAGAGGTCTAACCCAAATAGAATGATATGATGTTTAACATTCAATTTTGATCCATAAAAAACTGCCCGGAGCTGCGCTAGCCTAGCGCTGTCCAACTCGTACCGGCGGTACGTACGATGACGCCTTGGCCTACAAAATACAGTGCCAGTGCAGTGCCAGTGCTTAGTGCAGTGCATGCATGCATAAGTCTAGTTGACCTAGTCTAGATCTACAACCTAAGTTATTTGTACACAGCATTGTGGTGTGACCATAGTTCGCGCGTGACTTAGACTAGATCTAAGTCCGCTTTCTTGTAAAAAATCGGTAAGATTTCGAAAATATGATAGAGGGGTCTAGACTCTAACTTTAGATCTAGATCTAGTCTAGACTAGACTAGACCTCTAGATCTAGAAAAAATCTAGATCTAGAAAATCTAGATCTAACGTTAGACCCTAACTGTTAGAACATAGAATCTACAATTAGTCTAGATTTCTAGGTCTAGATCTAGGCCTAGGATCTATCCAGAGACGGAATTTTCTTTAGAATTGGCGGTGAAAATTATGAAAATATTGACAAAAGAATGGCAAATTTTGCTGTCGTTTGCGTCCGTTCCGAAAAAATAACTAGACCTCTAGATCTAAAGTTAGCTCTAGATCTAGAATCTAGATCTAGATCTAACTGTTACTGTGTTAGATCTAAACAGTAACAGTAACAGTCTAACTTAGATCTAGCCTAGGCCTAACCGAAAAGGGTCCCGAAATCTTCATTTTGAGAGCAGATATCCTCAAAATTGTAAGTAGAATCTAGACCCTAGACGTATTACTAGTAGTAGACCCTCTAACTTAGATCTAACTTGACTAGATACCAACTCAACTGAGTCTAGACCCTGTGATAGGGGTCTAGTCTAGACTAGATCTAGGTCTATATTGCCTCGCAATTTATGAAATGACCTTATTTTTGATGGATTGCATTTTTTGATAAATCAGCTGTGGGTGTGAGTGTGAGTGTGAACCCCCGTGCGCGAACTAAGGTTCGGGTGTCTGATCGCGCACTCGGTTTTGTGTGCTAACAATCCTTCCCATAGTTCTAGAGATTGCACACATCCGTATTCGGTCCATGTCATGATGTGCATTGCAAAACTGGTCAATGTTTTTATGACCAAAATGAGATTCAAACCAATACTGCTTGTGATCCCGAACTTCTGAAGATGATACTCAATAATAAATAAGTGGCGCTTGTTCAGAAATCTATCCAAAATTTGACCTGTAACTCCGGCGTGGAGATACCCCCTAGAGGATCTAGAGTCTACTAAACTATTTAAAAAAAAGATTTAGACCCCTCTACATGTAGTCTACCCAAACTTCGCCAAAGCCAAAATGAAGTAAATATTCATCAGATGTCTAAATAAAGGTCATGATTTTAAAGTCGATATGTTTGTTAGGTCTACCTGTTTACTGTTTAGTGTCAATTTTCTTATCTTGTTCGGAATATCTTTCCTAAAAACGAAGACTTATAATATGAAATTTCTCACAGGATTCACAGCAAACTGCAGCACAATACAATTGCATACCGTACCGACGGTGGGGTGCGGGCGCGCATGTGTGTTCAGTTAGTGACTGTAAGCATTTGTTTGCCTCTGTTTACCTCCAGCTCTAGAATTTGTAGTTTGTACATGTAGACCTAGGCCTATACGAATGTACAACTACATGTAATATATTCTAGCTGGCATTTTCACCTCTGGCATTTTCCTTTCTTTCCCACAGGTAACACCCTATTGCCATCATGCCGCTACCAGCAACTGATGATTATTCAGCCGTTCAGGCTTACTTCACAGCCAAGGAATGGGCAGAGATCAGTGACTATGAGAAACTTCGTCTCAAGAACATCAAAGAAAATTATGAGATGATGATTGAAGTTGGTGAGTAACATTAATTATGTTACCTACAAATCTTGCTTAATTGTAAAACAATGTATGATGGGTAGCCTGTAGGGATTTCTACCTTTGCTAAGTTTGTACATCACTACAGTACATGTACATGTTCAACTCTAAGACTTGTTCTCATACATAGTTTAAACCTTTTGTTTTTAGATATTTGGCTTTATTTTTGTATGCAATTGCAAAGGTATGGTGGATATAGTGTTTAATGGCAAAAGAAAACTTGTTATTCTCTTCCGAAAATTTTACATGGATTCATGAATGGCAAGTTAAATAAAAAAGTCTTTTTGTATAACAGGTTTCGTATCGAGAAAGAAAAGGCACAAAAAAAGAAAAAAACTAGAGATGTGCAATTCAAATATGTAATGTACAGTTTGTGCAAAGAACGTCAAGAAAGTCTAAATGCTGCATTTTAACTGACATTGATTTCCACCTCCAATACCCCCCCCCCCCCCAATACCCCCTCCCTCCCCCTAACAATAGGAGATAAAAAATTGATTATTTAATTTGCATATTAACAGTGGTGTCATTTTATTCGATTTTCATTGTGTACACAGGACTAAAGGTTAGTCCCCAGATTTCATGCGACCTCGTCGTGGAAGAAAGAAACAGCTTGTAGAGGAAAGTGATAGTGAGGATGAGGAGTGGAAGCCAAAGAGGGCCAAGAAAAAGTCAAGAGGTTTGTACCGATTTATCTGTCTGAATTATTCTCAAGCAAACTCTGTACATTGTGAAATTGCACCTAAATTTTTTAAGATTGTAGAGAAGTAATACTAAAGATTAGGAAGTGTAAGCCCAAAAAGGCAAAGAAAAAGTTAAACAGGTATTGATGAACAAATATTTCAACAGATTTTTGTCTTAAGTCTATAACATTGTGAGAAAGGATTAATACTTGAATCTAACATTTTCAGTCGATAGAACATTTTAGGCCTGATAATTCGACATTAGTTCATCTGTTCCTCACTCTACACTGATAAATCATTAACATGTTCTTGCATGAAATGAAGCAGAATGTAAGGGCCAGAAGATCAGTCTCGGACTGTTTACTGGCTCATGTTATGTACTGATGATGTGGAATTTCTATTAACGAAACAGTCATTTTATTTTACTTTGTGCCCGAAGAAGTATCTTATCTTCACTATGCAAACAGGATCTTTTCACAACCTGTATTACGTCAACGGCTCTTTAACCATTCAATTTTTTTGTTATGTTGTGGTGCTTAATGAGGATGAGTCGGTAGTGAAGACAAAACTTTCATTTTTATTTTGCCGTAAATAGAAATCCATGTGTATTTTGCTTTGCTATCTAATAAAGATTCAAATACCGGTAAACAAATGAACATTTATTTCTTCCAAACAATACAATTTATAAGTAGGAACATAAATATAATTAAAGAACTTGTATTACAAGGAAGAAGGCGCGAAACCCGATAAACATAGCTTGTAGTGGGTACGCCCGAATACATAAATACAATTATACATTATAAATGGGAGAAAGGAAGAAAGGAAGAAAGGGATAGGCAAAGAGGAGAGAATGATAGAGAGCTTGGAGAAAAAGAAAAGAAGAGGACTGCAACATAGTAGCAATGGCATGCATAAACAACATAATGGCAAGATATAGGTAAAGAGTATAGTGTTGAAAACATTTGACTGCATCACATATATATTTACTTCGTTACAAGTACATGCATATGTAATTTAAAATGAAACAGTGATCTTTCTTTTATTTTGTGTATATGTACTTCCTGCACTATCTTTACTACTCAAATAGGATATTTTAATGACATTCTATTAACCTTTAAATTCCTACATGTATGTCTAAACTTTCAAAAAATGTTTTTAATGTTTTGCTATCTACTGAAGATGTGTAAGTACTGATGACACAATTAATCATTTTTTTTCTTCTTCACTTTCCCCAAATCTATATTATCTTTACTATTCAAACAGGATCTTTTAGCGCACCTTTCAGGGCCCCTGCAGTCAAATCAAACAAACCAGTTATCACAAAGAAACAGCCCGAACCTAAACCAGTAAGTATGCATAAGTACCTGTATATGTAAATAAATGATCACTCCGAAGTTTATCCATGATAATCACTGCACACATTTAAAAATCACTATTTGCTTATTATTTATCGAGTCCTGTCATACATGTATGTAGATGTACTATACCAAAAAGTGAATTTATAAACCTTTTTTTCCCCAAATACTTTTTCCCCCTGGCATTTCATATTGCCTCAGGGAAGAAGAAAACCATCTTATTGATTGCATTACACTGTAATAAATAGGAAACAATAGGTAAAATACAGAGATTGAGGAAGAGAGAGAGAGAGAGAGAGAGAGATGATACGTGTGACTGCCAGAGGAGCTCATTAACACATTCATATTCTGTTTCTTCTCATTTAGCACACTGTAACATCAGGGACTGTGTATGATGATGACGGCAATCCACTCAATGATGCTCATCATATAGGGGGAGAGCGAATCATTGATCTCCTTGAATGGAAGGACTATGCAGATTCCACCCAACCACAAACCAATCCAATAGCATCATCAGGTGATCAGGGGAATCAGTCAGGTGATCCAAACACTCGGTCAGATGACCAGAAGACTGAGCAAACTTTGGCAGAAGTAGCTACAGGAGGCGACCATTCTCCCAAGCAATCCCGATCATTCTGTATGAAAGTTGGTGGAAAGGCAAAATCTCTGTCTGGTAAGAAAATATTAACTTTTTCTTCCAGCTTTGAATTTCATTTACTTACTTGTTTACTTGTTTGTTGAGGCTTGAAGTTTCAGCTTATGAGCCCATCGTGGCAATCACAGCTTTATTACGTTGATAAGGGTAATTAGAGAGGATGGTGATGCCAATGCTTTTCTAGTTCAGATTTAAAGCTGTTAATAGATGGCTCTTGGACTGTCGATATGGGTAGCCCGTTCCAGTTGTTAAGTGATCGAACAGCAAGGGACCTCCGTCTAACACTTGTTTTACAGTGTGGCTTCTCAACTTTGAAGATGTGACCTCTCGTCCGACTTTCTTTGCTCATAGAGAATAATCCCTCTTTCTGTACATCTTCTCGTCCAGTCATGATCTTGTATAGTTGGATTTGGTCAGCTCTTTGCCTTCGATACTCTAGTGTTGGTAGCATAAGTTCTTGGAGTCTTTCCGGGTTGCTAAGATGGTTAATCGCTGGAATGAGTTTAATAGCTCGTTGCTGGACTTTCTCCAGGTTGTCTTCATCTTTGATAAGCTTAGGCTTCCAGACAGTGTTGCAGTATTCAATGTGAATTATATTATATTTTTCTTTTCCAGTTGAATGAAAGTTAGGGTGATTCAGTGTGATAATATTTATTATCATATCCTGCTTAAAAAATGTATTGGTTTTTGATTGGCCAAGAGCTCTTTACCTGACCAGAAATATTTCAACTATTTTAAGGTTTTGAAAAAAATATTGCTACTGATATTTGTTTGTCTCGCAATGTATGGTCAATATTTAACGGATCTAAAAGATCACAACGTTTTGTGCGCCGCTGTAACATTGCGTCAGGTGATAAAACATAATGTAAGCAAGCGTGTTTTATACTCTATGGGACCATAGTTTGTTAAACGAGGCAGGAGCAAATATAAAGGTGACTTATTTTGCTTGATTATCAATATTTGATGTAAGATATGAAACAAATACACCCTGCCTTCTTTTCGAGGTACTGGTTAAAACTGTAGTCTCTAACTCATCCTGTTCTAATGCTCTGTGTCAGTCCTGATAACAAAAGCGTGTATTTCCATCAGTTTGAAAATTGAAGATTTAGGGAACTGGATAAAACTGAGGGAAACATTGTAAAATTACATTTACATGAAATTCATACCAAGTCTGGCAGGTAAAAAAGTATCAATCTAAAATCAACAACAAGCTTGGAATAAAATTAAATCAATTTGGCCCTATTTTTTATATTTCAGACAGGAGAAAGGAGAAACCCCAATCATCCCCAAGACAATATAGATACCCGAGGAGAGCAGTGAGCCGCAAGTCATACAAAGAAGATGATGTTCCTGACGATGATCACTACATCTGTAAGTAAACACAAGAGAATTTGGCTTTATTCTTTTTGTTTTTTATTTATTTCACATTTGTTTTTGTTGGTCATTTGTATATTTTTCGTTTTTTTTTTTATAGAATTCTTCAAATTCATGAGGTTAATTAGGCCTAAAAAAAAAAAAAGATGTTATATTGCCCTGTAAGTGCCTAAACGTGGGTCTGTTGGTCGAAAATATTTTTGTTAGGCCTTATTGTGAAGCTCCATGTACAATGTATGAATTTCTCAGAGCATTTCTTTATTAAACAGACTACTCTAAACCTAATTTATTGGATCAGCTTTGAAATAAACTCAATTCGTTCTGCATAATGAACATTTATATATCATATGTAATCAGGGGTGAATCATCTAATGAACACAATTCCTTCCATGCAGCCTTGACAACACAAAGGTTGTAAGGAACAAACACAATTGATGATGATGTTCAATAGTTAATCAATTTCTATTATCCCTTCCCCCTACAGATTGTGAAGATTGTCATGAGGTCTTTGAAGGTCAGTGCTCCAAGCATCCCCTTACCATCATCAAGGACAACCCTGTCCCTAAAGGCTCTAAAAACAGAGCAAGGAAGACTCTACCTGATGGTCTGGCGGTCAAGCAGTCATTGATACCAGGGGCTGGTCAGGGGATCTTTGCTACCAAGTTTATCCCTAAAGGATACCGGTTTGGTCCGTACGATGGAGACATTGTGGACCTAGAGACTGGATATGATAGCGGATATGCTTGGGAGGTATGAATCATTTTGGGGAGCCTTCATTGTATAGAAATGCTAATTGTTATATCAAGTATGATTGAAAGTCTTAGCACTCAGAGATGTTTACATTTTTCTCAATATCTACATAAAATGTCTATTTAAAAGATGTGCACATTTTATTCCTAGAAGAGATCTGAATTTCTAAGGTTCACTTATGAGATTATAAAGTTCAAAACAGTATTATGGAAAGAGTTAACACTTATACATTAATGAGAGATATAAAAAATAATGCTAATGATGATGCTTATGTGCAAAAGAAATATCTACGTTTGTGATAGATCCGATTCTGATTTAAAATCACAAATGTTTTCTCTTCCTTTGTATTCATATAGATCTGTACAGAAGGCAAACCCCACCACTATGTTGACAGCAACAGTGAGCAGACAGGCAACTGGATGCGTTACATCAACTGTGCACGCAATGAGGGTGAACAGAACCTTGTAGCATTCCAGTATCTCGGTGAGATCTACTACCGTACCTTCAAACCAATCTGGCCAGGAAGGGAGCTACTGGTCTACTATGGGGAGCAGTATGCTAAGGATCTTGGTATCACATCGCAGCTTAATAAACTCAACATTGAAACAGGTACTTGATTAGGAAACTTTCTGTGTGAAATAAGAATAGAGATTGATTTAAGATTTGTGAAATAATTCCTTTGCTTTTTAAATAGGAATTTAGACATGTTCAATGAATTTTATATATTCCATGGCAACAAAATTTGGAAGTGGAAACAACAAACAGATAAACAAACCAAAAGACCAAGCAACAATCACTTACTAGCTTTACTTGTGATTGTGATTCTTTTGTGTTGCTCATTGATGTCATATCATACCTTGTCATATACTTTATCTTATTTTAGATTCTGGCCTCTATAGATGTGAGTACTGTGGATCACTCTACGCAATTCCTCTCGTCTTAGCAAGGCATCTAAAGTACAAACATGGACACTATGGTATCGTCCCACAGGCAGGTACATCAAAGGAAGACATTCTACAGTTCATCAAAGGAGAAATACAAAAAACTGTTCAATCTGTTAATAGAGTGATGAAAATTAACTTTGGCAGTGATTCAAAAAATAAAGCCAGCAATGATTTGTCAAATGATAAAATTAGAACAAATATTCAACCTACTTGTAGAGAGGGAACATTTACTAATCAACTTCATTCTAATAAACTTAAAAGCACCAAAGCAGATAATAAGCCATATGATTGTGGTAAATATGGTAATGCATTTAACAATAATCTAGTCAAAGATAAAGAGAATCATGTAACAAAGAAATCATGTGTATGTGATCAATGTGGTAAAGCATTCAGAGATGCACATTGTCTTACAACACATAAACACATCCATACAGGTGAGAATCCCTATGTATGTGATCAATGTGGTAAGACATTTACTTATGAACATAATCTCACAAGACATAAACGCATCCATACGGGTGAGAAGCCCTATGTATGTGATCAATGTGGTAAGGCATTTAAACGTGAAGATGTCCTCACAAGACATAAATGCATCCATACAGGTGAGAAGCCCTATGTATGTGATTACTGTGGTAAGGCATTTAATCAAATAAATAATCTCACAACACATAAACGCACCCATACAGGTGAAAAGCCCTATGTATGTGATCAATGTGGTAAGGCATTTAATCAAGAACCTCATCTCACAACACATAAACGCATTCATACAGGTGAGAAGCCCTATGTATGTGATCAATGTGGTAAGGCATTTAATCGTGAAGATGTTCTCACAATACATAAACGCATCCATACAGGTGAGAAGCCCTATGTATGTGATCAATGTGGTAAGGCATTTAATCAAGAACCTAGTCTCACAAGACATAAACGCATCCATACAGGTGAGAAGCCCTATGTATGTGATCAATGTGGTAAGGCATTTAATCAAGCTGGTGATCTCAAAAAACATAAACGCATCCATACAGGTGAGAAGCCCTATGTATGTGATCAATGTGGTAAAGCATTTAATAATATGGGTGATCTCACAAGACATAAACGCATTCATACAGGTGAGAAGCCCTATGTATGTGATCAATGTGGTAAGGCATGGAGGAACCTTTCCTCTCTCAGGTACCATAAGCCAAAATGTCAATGTACAAACACACAGTGCAATAAGAAACTTGTGCAGTCTCGAGTGAGCAGTATCAACACCAATGAACTGTAAGTCTTAGTCTATAATATTTAATTAATTTTGCATCTATGAATTATCTTAATGATGGGAATATCTACAAATATTGTATTGATGAACTTCAATATCATCTTCATTCTTAAATGACATCGAAATAGATCTTTGTGTATTTTTGTCTATCAATATTTTGAATAGAAAGGAAGGTTCGTTTTTGCATGACTTCAGTTACTATAAATTATGAACTGCAGTGGTAGGCTTATTGTTAATGGGACCAAGGAATTTTTTCCCTCTCATTCTTTCATAAAGATTATTAGGTTAATGCTCATGTAATTTATTAGTATTGGAACTTTTATTAGATGCTTACAGTTATGAATGGCGCATTGTTAAAATGAAGAAGTTAAGAATGGAAACCACAAATTAATTCATGATCAATCCTCCAATATGCAGATATGTTTATAGGTTTGGTGAACAATAAATTCCACAAGAGTACATTAATAGGGAGCTTTGGAATTTCTCCAGTTCATAGAACAAGTGCACATAACTTGAAAGTTACATTTGTACATTTCAAGTAAGTTTCAACATGACTGAGATGTAGATTTCCTATGATCTATTATATGCATATATGAAACAAATACCTTGTCTGTTAGAGTGCATGATTAGTACAGGTATGATTTGTATACCTATGATATGTAGGATATGGGTATACTGGTATAAACAGTATGTTTACATAACGATGTTGAGCAAAGTGCTGACATGAATTCCTTTGAATGGATATGATTTTATTTCTGATTTTATTTCTGCATTTTTCCAAATTTAATATAACTGAATTAAAAAAAAAATATATATGGGCATATAATAACGGAACTTAATATTTCCATAACATATTATCATAAATTTAAAGTATTATCTGAACTATTCTGTTTAAAAAGTGCAGAAGACAGCAATTATATTGCTTGACAATTAGGATGGCGGCCTCATGGTATATGTTTAAATTGAGGGTATTATGTTCCGTACAATAACAACGACATTGCAGTGTGATTGTGTTCATATTTTGAATGCCAGAGACCAATCTTAAAAGAATTGACAGCAATGAGCCGGAAATAAGGCATCGGTATAAATGCAATGTTATTTGCACATAGCATAATATAAACATGAATTCTAAGCAAGTTCACAATGAAGATGCCATTAAAATGTGATCTTATTTATCTGCTTTAAGTGCTTAAAGTAGAAGTTATTAACTTATTTATTCATTTCAAAGTCATTCATGATAATTCAGTAACATTTTAAATTGAAAGGTACCTAAATATATTCAAATTATTTTAATCTATAT